ACAGTTTGTCACAGCCCCTCGTTTGTTGTCCTCTTCTCCCTCTCTGCCTACGGTTTACCGGGCAGTTCTATTTGATGATATATATATATCGTCACAAACAGAACTGCCCGGTAAACCGTAGGCAGAGAGAGAGAAGATATATATATTGGGGGGAGTGGGGAATACAGATAGCAATATGGAGTTGTGCAAGTCAACTTATTATCCACGGAACAGAAAAGGAAAGACTTCAAAAAAGAATCCCTTTAAATTTTTGAAATTTGAAGTTTAAAACACTGTCCATTAACAAGGGCCAAATGCAGCATTTCCGCACAAATGCGGCGGGAAAAAAGACAAAAAAAAGAACAAGTGCCACGTGGGTGGCTGATGCGACTCCTTTCTCCTCTCCTTTCTTTTTGGAGTAGCACCCAATGTTCAGAATATTAGGCCACTTTAGCAGTTGCCAAAAAATTAATGGAGCAAAAAAGGTGACCCCCCTAAATCTGTCAAGTGCCGCTGCGGGTAATGAATGACTGGCGCAGTTTTATAGCCCCGCTAAACTTGCGCGTTTCAAAACTCACACCATGACAGGGGCGTATTTCAACTAAAAGTGTGTCACAGACACAGTTTTCCCTTCTTTTTGTTTTTCCCTTTCTTCTGGGTCAGTGCAGCCCATTTCCTCCTTTTTCCTTTGATGCGACCCCTTTCGCCCAATTTCTGTTTTTTTTCTCTGTTTTCTGCCCCCTCCTTCCCTTTGTCTTTTTTGGGAAAAATTTATGTTGTACCTCTCAAAGTTCAGATATATGCCAAGATGCCCATTTTTCCTTTTGTGGGAATACATTGCCTTTTCACTTAGAAACAAGTTCAAACAACCATCAAAAGGAGTGGCCCAAGAGCATGCAGCTTACCCCCCCTCCCCCCCAAAAAAACGAGGATGTGACCCCTTTTCGGGCACACATTTTACTTTTTGCTGCTTTGAGACCGACCATGTACGACACTTTCACACCATGGTCATACAAGATGACACGCACACGGCAAAGACACACGTGACATGCAACTCGAAGATAAGATCCGCCAATCAATTCTTTACACAATTGTCTTTCTCCAAGAGGTGTGAATATCGCCGCCAGGAAGCTCTCTCAGGTATGGTCGTTCTCTCTCTCTCAACCTCACTTCTCTCTCTCTCTCTCTCTCTCTCTCTCTCTCTCTCTCTCTCTCTCTCTCTCTCTCTCTCTCTCTCTCTCTCTCCCTCCAAGGTCTTGTCTCTCTGAATACCTCTTGCCCTTTCTCTCTCCCACTCGAGCTTGCCCTTAGCTTAGCTGTGGCGCCCAGTGCCGTCAACTACCTATTACCAGCCAGGATGCAGCACACATCGAAGTATCCCAAAATAGCGCAGCGGCGCTTCCCCATGGACTCACAAGTGAATATGTGTTGGTGACTCCAACAAATGGACTTTTTGCT